GGTGTAGTTGTTTTGAGTAGTTTGGAGAATTGGCTACTGATGTTCATCACCTCCTTAGTAAATAAAGAGGCTAAGATATCAGGTGAGAGATTTGAGTCTGGTTAAGGTAATGTTGGACTGAGTAAGGTTTTGATGGTGGTGTCTGTGATAAGCATGCTGAATGAGAAGGAAGATAGAAGTCACTGATAAACCCTCAGTCAAGCCGTTTTTGGTATGCAACTTTCAGATGGCTGGTTAGAATGAGAAGGTTTGGTGGATAGAGGAAACAGAGCAGATAAATTATTTGGCAGCGTTGTGTGAAATGAAGATATTAACATGTTCCCAGAAAAACATCTAGCATTTAATATGATACTATTTCTTTGTGCCACAAAGCATCGGCGCTTTGTGTTTTTCCGCATAGAATAGGTGCTAGAACGATCTTCCCCTGTAGGCAACACAAACACACATAGAGGAGAGTGAGCATCACACACAACACGGTAATTAATGGCCATGGTCAACAGAAAAATGACTATGACCAGCTAAGACAAAACATAGGACTTCACCTTGCAAATTACAGGCCTGCCTGGTCCTCACAACAGACTTAAACAACACTAACATCTTTTACCGCCTTCATGAATCATGCCAAACAACACGGAAAAATTTAGTAGAATGAGAGCAAAAAAGCAAGAGCTCAAAACAAATCCCAGACAGTGGAAGGGTCTTTTGCCACAAGATGGAAGTTGTTGTTGTTGCACCTTACAGTTGCAAAATAAAAGGCACAAAGGTATCAGTAAAAAGTAACATTATATATGCATTTTTCTCTGGATACGGCAGCACAGTGGAAGTAAGGAAAAATGAGTGGGAGAGAGGTTGTGGTGAAACAAGAGTTGATCGAATGGAGCGCTGTTCCTGGAGGCATTTCAGTGAAGATAATCAAATAATGGTCAGAGAGGTGTGGAGACTTTAACCTGAGCTGTGTCGTTAACAGCCTGGCAGTCCAAAGAGAAATATTTGTTTGGAACAGTTAAGCGAGTTTCCATTTGTTACAAATGAAGAAGCCAGTCTCCCTCTCCTCACTTGGACACACGATAAGCATTGTAGAATGTGAAGTTAGTGGAGATGGTAGTTGATTTAACAGTACTTTCTGGTTGGATCCAAGTCTCAGTGAGAGCTTGTGGCTCAAGGGCTAGCTGGTTAGCACAGGCAGAAATTAAATCAGCTTTGCTCAGTGCAGATTGGCGGATTACGGATTGTTGCAGTGACCGGAGGTTGGCCAGTTTTCCATCATAGGTTAAAATTAATCGGACAGTGACGTGACTTGCAATTTCAGTTATGTGATTCAACTACCCAAGTGTACTAAGGCTGATTCCTAAATTACCATAACAATTGAGCAATTGGAGTAATAATATTTGCCCACTCTTGGAGGCTCCAATTACTATGCTGTATTTATTTTGTTTGATTGGAATAAGCTGAGCTCTTTCAAGATGAATTTGCTGGAAATGAATTTCAATGCAGTGGGCTTCTGTGACCCCACAAAGAATCTAAATTCCATTTAATCGAGAGGGGGGCCCTAGGAATTGCCACAGGAGACAAATATATGCTCATCTCCAGAAGACGATTATTCATCATGATAATTATTTGAACGCTTCAATTAATTTGACAACATAATTTGCATGTGCCGCCATTTGGCACACCTGTTTGCCAGTGGGTCTAGGGAAAATGGAGGGAAAATAAGTGCTGTCGTGTTGAGATAAATATGTCCTTCACCCACTACACAGAGCTGCTTATCACTCATGTAAATGTATAAGCTATTGACAAGCATATGATGTTGAATCAGAAAACACTTTAATATAATGCATGTAATTTGCTGTTTCTGGTGTGAATAGAGCCTCATGTTTATAATGAATTGTGTATGATTCACAGGCCATTTGTAAAGCTGCCATTCAAAAACGTATGCATACGAAGAGTACAATTTTACAAGGGATTTTGTTTTTTTAAATAATAACGACAATGTTTTATATTTTTGACAACCCCTCTAGTAACACTGAAGATACAAGTATTATACATTCACATAAATTTCTGATGTTTCATTTGAAGTTGTAGTATCCATTAAAAGATATATTTGTTGTTTTTTGTACTCAAGTAACAATTTTCTCTTGAGCTCTATGAAGGAGTTTTGCGCTGATTGACTGTTTTCAGAGTAACACAAACCCATGCCACCCAGGTGATGCATTATACTACTGAACGGGCAGTCACTTAGCTCAGAAAAATTCAGACTTCACTGCTTCTGCCGGATTCATTGTGAAGTCATGGGCCTTAATTTTTCCCTGCAAACTGCTGGATCATGATATTCCAAGATGCTGGAATGATTGCACGCAGTTTTGTAATGTCCACCACCAATGCAGGAGTATTGGAGGTCAACTGGCCCGGCCTCCAGTTCAGCTTTGGAGGGGGGGTGGCCTTTCTCCTTAGCTGACAGACCCTTACAGGTGGACTGGTGCAGTGCCAGTGTTCAACAAGACCAACTAAGGGGACTTGTTTAGTCACTGAGTCCGAGATCTTTAGGGGCATTAGGGAGTCGGGACTTCGGGCAACAAGAGTGGAAGGCTGCATATACAAAAATCTGCTTTGCCTTGGCAGCAGAAATGGCAACAAAGCCGTCAAGCAGCTTATCCCATTTCCAGAGCTCTGGCTACAGGCGGTGGATATCATCCTTTAACTGTGAGTAAGCAAGTTTGCATTTCATACACACAGTCATAATAATAGCTGGTGTTCAGTCCGGGTGTAACTCATAAAACAACACGGCTGATAAATCGGGACACATAAACAGCGAGGTTGAAGAATAGCAGTAAAAAGAATGACGAAAAAAAAGATGTGGAAATCATACTTTGTACAACATTAGGCCTTTGAAGGTTGAGTATGATTACTGTAAAACACATTTTCATGGAAATACAAAGTTTAGCTTTTGCTTTTACTGAGGGTAATCATGGCAAAAAATGACCTGGGATGTCAAAGCCATTCATCCTCCACTGGCAGACTGATTAAATACTTTAAATCAATCTTTGCTTTCATCAAGCTGTTGAATTGGTCCAGAATTGTTCTTGGACACTGTTAAAACAAAAAAAGGCATCTTCTGCGTCACTTATTCAAATTTCAAAGATAAAACATTAAATAACGGTTTTTGTAGGCTGAGTGCTTATTGTGATGAGTAAACTGACCTTCAATTATAAAAAGAGCTCCCCTTATCATTACCATCTAAAGGCAGCCTTAATACCGTTGAATGTCATGTTTGCCTGAAGTGATATTAGCTACATCATTAATTACAAAGGTTCGACATCCTTTTGTGCACAATTTACACAAAAACACCCACAACCAGTAACAGGAACATGTGCACACAGTTGCTCTTTATACTCACTATACATTTTTCACCCCTGTATATGGAGCAGCTGGAGCTAATTCATAAAACTGCAACTCCAGAGATTTGACAGGACTTTCAGACCTATTCACAAATCATTGCACTGGTTTTCAGTACACACTAGAATTTATGAAGTTAAAAAGCACTGACCCTCTGTCATCACTGGTTTGTACCTAAGGTCTGTTGAAGATGCCTTTGGTTTTTGTGCTCCTCATTACTGGGATAATAATAAAATGTTTTTTTTTGTTGACCTTTAAAAATGACAATAAATAGTTTGTGAGGGCTTTCAGATTCTGGTGCAGACTCTTTCCTCTCAGTTAGTTGTGACAGAGCAGCTTTTGAATGACTCTTCGCTTTACCTTTTCTAAAATGAACTTTCATTTTACTCGTTTATGAAATGTTGCCCTGCTTTGCTTTAAATTAAAATTAAATTACTGTTGCTGACTTGACATTCTCAGGAAAGCTTGCAGCTGCTGAGCTTTCTGAGAGGCAGACAGTGCAAGTAAGTGTCTCCAGAGTGAGTTTCATTCTTGTTTTCATCATTGTAAATATCATTTTATCAAAATAATCAATTTCAAATCACGTTTATTATTAACTCATGTCACCTCCTCCCAGAGGTTAAAAGTAATTCAATGTTTTCTGTATTTCTTTCATCAGGATCTGAGAAAGGTTGTATAGAAGTTCTTTCCATTGTGGCCACATATTCCATCTCTCTGTACTGTTAGCTGTATTTTCTACATGAAAGATAATTTACATTCAGATCATTGGTCCATCTGAGTGCAGAACCTCAGCCTACAGTATAATTTGAATATAAATTCAAATAGAACGAACATTTACAGACCAAAGCGAGCATTACAAAAGATTTATTTGATGTCTTGCAGGATATAATGGTATGCCTGAAACGACTATGTGTGCATAGTACAGATGTGTGCATGCTTTTACACAAAAAGCATGCACACAGTCTCTGTAGTGATTGTATGCCTTTATGGCTAAATGTAATTTTGACCTTTACTGCTTGTAATGAAAATGGGACAATCAGGAGGAAGGTATCAACACGCAGTTGTGGTTTAAACACATCAAATGACTTAAATGGGAAATTGCCCGGCTGGGCGGTCATCAAGTGACAATAGGTAGAGAATGTTTGTAGGATGATCCTCATAATATTGAGATTTCTGACACAAAACTTGTAGCCACATCCCTGGAATATCTTTATATTCAGTCTCCATTTTACTGTAAACAGTAGGAAGCCTATGAAGCAGTTGTATTAAAAGATAGAAAAAAGGAAGCAGAGACACCAGTCATTGGAGCTGTGAGTTTCCACTGTCAAAGACCAAAATAATCCTATTTCAGCTTTTGATAAGGTGACCTGACCGACACTGAATAGTCTAGAAATAGAATTCAACAACTTAGTCGTGTAAAAAAATGAAAGAGATGTGATGCAAGCGAGTCCATATGTCTTCCATCCAATGTGCTTGAAAAGATGTCAACACAGCGTAGGATAGCTTCACTTGCAGTACTTCCCTATACAGTAAAATTACCCAGACAGAGTAAACACAGGACTTACCAAGGCTGAACTCCACTTGAGGCAGCTTGGGTGTGAGAATAACACCTGAGAGACAGAGAGAGGAAAATAGAGGGGAGAGGAGATAAAAGCAGAGGGAGATAAAAAGAAAGGGAGAGCAAAGCATTAGAACAATGGAAGAAAAAGAAAATAACACAATTCAGAACCTAAACTCTTGAGCCCCTTCAATTTCCTAGAGACCAAATTGTCTCCGATTTTCTGTGTGATTGCACGGTGTGAACAGTCCCAAATCAAGGAGGTTCAGTTTCAAATGATATAAAATAAAAAAGCTGCAACTGTTCAGAAAGATATCAGACATATATTAAACACATTTCCACCATGTCAATACAACAGAACATATATATATATATTATGATCATTTTATTAGATGAATCTGGAAACTTTTCACAGACAACCTGGCACTGGCCCACAGACCACTGCCAGACAAAGGATATAAAGTAGATAAAAAAAATATTACAGGGTTGTGCAATGTCACCAAATGTGCACATGATGAAGTCTAGAATGAAACATCGTGATGGGGGAAGACTTTGTGGCTGGGGTGGTGGTGTGGGGTCTCACAGATTCTCGGGTTATTTGCTCAAATGCTAATAATCAGCCGCACAAACGATCAGCGCTAGCGATTCAGCGTGGCAAATATTCTGCTGCCCCTTTCAAGTTAGAGTCAGTGGTGGTACATCAGCTGGAGCTAATTAACTTGATCATAGACCTAAATGAAACATGGCTGTTGTCAGTTGGTGTGTCCTCTGTGTGCCGCTGTCAGTGTTTGTCAAAGACAAGAGAAGAGCCACCGCTCTGTAACACCACTGTACAGCCAGGAGTGAACCGAGTGTTTCTGAGGTTTCAAGGGAGTGAGTCATCGTAGAGTTCAGCCTCACGTCACTGTCAGGGCTGGCAGCGTCCAACACTAACATTCAGTCACATCATATGGATGAATTAAACTTACAGACTTTATGTTTTTGAGCCATGAGCTTCAGTTTTTGCATCAAAAAGCTCCAAAAATTATTTGGTTGTGACTTGTGACACTAGTTTACAGTTCTATAATTTCAATGTGTCTGATACTTAAATGTTGATTAAATTGCCTGAGTAAGTTAATTAAGTAGGAGATTGAGTGTCAGTATCAGCAGACACCCAATATTAAAAGACTTGTATCAGTATGTATCAGCCAAGAAAAGGGCACAACCAGTAAAAAATAGGAAAGAAGCAATATATTATGCATGTAGGTAGAAATCTGATCCTTTCACTGGAACAACTTTTGAGACTGAAAATATTCTAATCAGAAAAAAGAGCTTGTCAAGCTCCTTTCATCCACATATTATCTAAGCCCCTTCGTGTGAAAGGTGGGGTACACCCTGGAGAGGTCGTCAGCGTATAGACGAACCAACATCTAGAGACAAAAAACATTTGTCATCACATTTAACACCTTCAATCAATTTGGAGTTTGGGATGAAGCTGGATGATGAAGAAACAGAGAGAACTCCAAACTCCACAAAAAAAGGCAATGGTGAAGGCAAATTGGAAAAAACCTTGTGAGGAGACAGTAATAACCTATCATGTAAAAATGTCTACGATTGGTCTGAGATTTTCACGTCAGGGCAAGTTTGCCAAAGTGTTACAGCGACTAGTGTAACTGTCCATTTCACATTACAAACACATTTCAATCGTTCAATTTTTGTGACCAGGAGTTTGTGGGTAAACGTCAACCTTGAGGGATTATGCCATAAAGATGAGTAAAGGACTGACAGTAAGACCTGTCACCAGCGCTGTCTCTCATTCATCTCTTTCCTAGTCCAACACACAACCAATCAAACGATGAAACACCTGCATGATGGTTGAAAACCGCTAAATGGCATTTTTCCTCTTTCTGGGGTGCCTGAACACAATTGGCCTCTGTAAGGCTCATCAACCACACTAATGGGCCATGGATAGTCAATGTTTACTGATGTGTGGGCACCACACAACTTATGGTAATACTTCACACACACTGAAAATGATTTACTTGTATTTGTAATTGTTCCAGTCTCCACACTTTCTTGGCAGCTTTTATGTTCAGTCAAGGTTAGTTTATTTGTAATTTGTCAGGTCAGTAAATTTAAAAAACCTTTCATCAGAAAAACAAATGTCTCAACAGACTTCACAGAAAAAAGTCTGACTAATCAACAGTCTTGCACCAAAATGATGCAATATTAAAGAAAGTGCAGGGCAACACTGCTTATTTGAAATATGTTAGAAGCCCTAAAGTCCTGCCTATCCAAAACTTAAACCAGTGACCATCTGTAAGGAGAAGAAAGACACTTCCAAGAAAATATTTAAAAAACCAGCTGGTATGAAATATCAAACAGTCAAGAATGATTTTAGTACTTTCAGAAAAAAGAGGTGGTTATATATCCAAAGAGGCTTCATAACATGGGTATATTAAAAGTAAAGAGCAAAAAATGTCTCACAAAATTGAGAGGGTTAGTTTTATTCAACTGTCAGTAAAAAAAAAAATGTAAAGGTGTTTTTCCAGCTTCACAGGTTTAGTTAATGTTTTTGGGTTTCCTATCTTCTGAAATGTTAAAGTTGAGCTATCAATGATTACAGGCATGTTATAAATTATGTCAAGAGCAGATATGCAATTTTAAAAAAGGTATTTTGACTGAATGTTTTAAAATATATTTTTGGAAATGTTTTTGAATTAATTTTGAAAAATATTTTTCAATTAATTTGAATTAATGCAAAAGCAACAATGGTACGGAGATTGCTAATGAATAACAGACATGCTAAAGTATTGAAATCATTAGCCTGTGCCCTTTTGAGAGTCACATGGCTACTCTGGCCAAAAGAAATCCCAAAATACACAAGCTACTTACGATGCATTTTGAAATTCAGCAAATATGTTGAGATATTAGTGAATAAATTATCTAAATTAGCTTGTGTCTTCAAGTTTCAGTGAACTGAATTCTCTCAGCCGCCACACTTGTCAGGATGGGCTACATTTAAATAAACAGGCTTATGTAAACTTAGTGCAATGTGTGTCATGCATGCAAATACAGTAAACATCTAATGAATCAGGTTCACAAATAGCTGAAATATGTAGGCAAGTAAACACTCATACACTGTTACACAAACAGGACAATTATGTACGTAAATAAACTGTCTGCAGCGCTATCTGGTTTTCACATTACTCTCATTATTCCATTCCTCAGGGGTCATGTCTCCTCATGTTGTCACCACTAAGGCTTCCTTGTGAGTGCTGATGAAACTTTAATACGCCTGGTTGATATGTTGTGAGGTGGCAACAAAGAGCCCTTAAGCTAGGTGGGCTGAAACAGTGCCAGCTGTTAGGTCCCGCCTCTGGTGCCACGTTCTCATCAGGGACTGCAGCTTTAAGAGTCCAGTTGTTTTTAGAGGACTCCATCTGTGCCACACAAAAACACACACACACACACACACACACACACACACACACACACACACACACACACACAAAACTAGTGGTAGTAGGTGCAAGATGGAGGTCTCTGAACCAGAAATAGCGATTTCCATGTTGGTGGTCATAAACAATTTGTAACAGTAGGCTAATCCTCTCTCTTAGTGATTCATAAATAAACATGTGCAATAGTGTAATAATTTCCTCCACCTTCCACTATCGAGGGATGAGAGAACAACACAAAAAAGACCATCACCACTAGTGTTTCCGAACATAACATCTACTGTTAGCCGGTGAAAGTGCCCTTCTGTTACCATCGCTGTCTCACAAGAAATTATACCCACAATCATTTTTACATTAGCGCTCCAAATGTTACCTGCTGAAGCACCACAGACTGCAGTTGACAGACAGAAGAAAACTAAAGGGCGAAGACCTGTGTGAACATCTGTTAGGCGTTTCAATAAAGGAGAGACCAAGAGTTGAAAGGGATGAAGAGGCTGCACTGTTTCGGTTTAAAAGCTGGGTAAGGTTTTTTGTTTTGCTTACCCTTGGTTCAGTGAACCTATTGGTTTGTTGTGGATTATTCCAAATTTTGGATCAGTGGCCTAAGTAATGTGCATGAAGGTGGGGAGTGGAGCTTCTGAAGGACCAGTAAAGGATTTTTGTTTTAGTTCAAATATTATTCCCGGAAATAACTTACCCCAACTTTAAGGTCGGAATTTTAGAGCGCAACTTGGAGATTGAGTGTCCTATAATTAAAGCATCTCACACGATCCTTCCATAAACACTTGACAGACGATACAGATCATTTTGCCTCTTGGAGAATGAATTCTGACATTATTAATTTCACAGTGTTCTGGAGCAGGTCTGGAAACTGTTGCTCACATGCATCAGTATCCACAGTTATTAAAATCATGGGCAAAATTATGCATAACCTGAGGACTGAACACCTGATGCACCATTCTTGTCTTTGAGCTCTGCACACACATGCATGTCATTAACCCTCGGTTAGAATCCGGCTGACCAAATCAAATACACAAAGTCTAATTACACTAATTACCCATTACATAAGGAGAGGTCAACCACCTGTACTGTCCATCTGAATCCCATCGTTGCACAGCTGCAATGTGTTGAGACGTATGTGGAGAAAAGTGGCACAGGTGTGGTATTCATAATCGATATCCACTGGCATTATGAATATGGTAATAAGCGCAGCAAGGCGGCAGGCAGCAAGCAGGCGGGCGGGCGGCACATGCAGATGTAACTCCTGAAGGGGCCCAGAGCAAATGAGGTGTGCCCGCCCGCTACACTGCAGTTTCATCTGGCTCTAGAAATAACAGCACAGCCCCTCTGTACCTCCAATCTATCACCCCCCTGTCTGCGGGTGGTATCAGTGGGGAAAAAGGCACGCTGAAGCGAGAGGGTAATTTATTAGGATGTGAGCAGACTAGGTGATTTCTCCAAAATGACAAAGTTAATTAATGTACAGGGACTTAAATTGTCCGTCTCGCAGACGATCATTTAACCCTCTTCCTCAGCCACTGTACGCGGGGATAACCGCTCACTAGCTTGTAACAGCAGATACTGTGAAAGGAAGAGTGGGGGAGTGCGCAAACAGATTCCACATGGGATTGCTGCTTATTCCTGACTTCGCAAAAAATAATTGTGTAAAAGCTCCGAAATACATGTAGCTGCTCCGGTCCCCTTCATATGCTACCATCTCAACTAAGAAAATCAAGCAATTTCCATAAAGGGCTTTGATAAACCCTCTCGCAAAGCGTACAGTACACATTCCTAATCACTCCTGCTTATCCTCTTCATGAATAGATATTACATGTAAGAGCCTGTGCCTTACAACAAATCCTGCTTTATGATTTGGAATACTATTTATTCTGGATGTTGAGGTGATATTAATAATTCACTTATATGGCTGGCTCATGAGATTTGATATTTCAGGGATATAACTGATCGCCTCTCAGTAAACCATTCCAACCACAAACACCTCCACCAGCGGCACTACAGATGTGAGCTGACACACAAACACTAATTGCAGTCTTTCTTCCCTCAATCTCATTTTTTCAAACCTCTCTCTTCTCGCTTCCCTATTTTCTATAGTTCAAATGATCTAAAACAGCACCTGTGCATTCTTTCTGAAGATTCAGTCATCAGCCCGGCTAACGTTCAACTAACTCGATTGATGTTTGGAAAAAACAGGCATCCCATTAAAACAAGTGGTGCTGAATGGGAGCATGAGTTATCGTCACATTACTGCCCTGAGAGATTGAGGTTGTGTTTCATTCGGATGTACTGTGGGGCTCTTGACTGTGGCGTCGATGGGAGATGGAATGCGGAGGGTTAACAAGGACACCAAGGGAAACTTGGATAATCAGTAAATTGGTGATGCAACAAAAATCACTTGGGTTGCAACTTTAATGGAAAACCCATGTGTCTATATGTAGATTCTAGTATGAATAGTTAAGATAAGATAATTTTACCTTTTGTGTTTGTAAAATGCCAATTCAGTCCCACCTTAATAAGTACTCAGCAGCACCCAGATAGGTCACACTCTTCCCTTCTGTCACGAAGGAGCAGATAAACTATTTCACCTTGCGACTGATAATGTGGGGTTGTCAGCCTGTCTTTCGTGTCAAACATGGTAATTATGTGCTTTGCTCTTCCCTTTTGTCTCCCAGGGTGCTCGGGGAAAACAAAGCAGAGGTACAGTGAGGTGTTTGTCATTACTGCTGCACTCCCACACCTGTCAGATGTCATCTCCAAATTGTGACTGTATGATTTTATAGCCGTGCATATCGAGGGTTCGTGATCAGGTCATAACTGTTAGAGTGAGAGTGTGTGTGTGTGTGTGTGTGTGTGTGTGTGTGTGTGTGTGTGTGTGTGTGTGTGTGTGTGTGTGTGTGTTCACCCATGCTTAGATGTTTGCATGAGTGTATGTATGTGTTGTTGTAGCGGTGTGTACATGTTTCATTATATCTGTGTGTGTACTTGTGGATGCAGGTGGTTCTGCGTGTATCCGTGTGGTTCGAGGCGAGGAGACAGGGCATCATGAATTGTGCTTTCATTCCTCTTTGTACGGCTCCATTTATTTGTCCCCATGGGGAAGATGATGTGTTAAGCTTGCATGCCAATGGAAATGCTCAGCCGTGCTGACTGCAGTGAGGGTCTTTTTGGTGAGCAAAGGTATTAAACTTGGAGAGCAGGCTTTGAGGCATCGCTGATATGGCTAATCTCTTTAGCATTCTCCTGTTGTGATGGGCACTGAGACATCTAGTTTGCCTCTGCCAGTGCTCATTAGTGACAATACTTTCCGGCTATATGGAATATACCTGCAGTAAAGAGGCGAAGAGCACACACACAGACACACATCTCCACAAGCACAATCATTTGCAGACATTAGACAGTGTTTTTCAAACCACTATCTGCTCAGCCACTAAATCAAACAATGTAAACCCAAACCAGGTAAGGCAGAGTTTTCTGACATACTTTGCCACATTCTGAGACCAACAAATTTGCGATTTCAATTCAACCACAGTGAAAAGACCAAATACAGAACTGGAAGCTCACAGAAAGGCAGGCAGTAGGTTTCAAAATCAACTCTCTTTAATAATTTGTTGAGTTTTTGAGGATTCAATTATGAATATGATGTCGCTCCAAACATTTCCAAACAAAATTTGCCCTCCAAATCCACTTATATTAATATTAATATTAATATTAATGGCAGGTACAATTGTTCTTTTGTAATAATTACAACAACATGACCCTGAGGTATGAATCGTCCTGATTAGCCAATAAAACAGCAGTGAATTCCATCAGCTGATATTGATCATCATGCTTTTAAAATTGTTGCCCTTTCTCACTCTGGCTGGTACCTCCACCCTTCACTCTCTCTCTCTTTCTTTCTCCCTTCAACACACACATTCTGTCTGTGTGTTAGAGAGGAAAACACTGCAAAAACAAACTGAGGGAGAATACGCACAAACTAGACATCTGTGGGATAAGCATTTATAGAAACAGTAGCATGTTAAAGAGCAGACAGAAACAACTGTGATGCCACCCAAGGTGTTTCAGTGTTAAACTGCATGAGGAAGGACGGAGGAGATAGAGGGAGGGTGCAGATTAAGAGACAGACACACAACACAGTGCAGTCAGCTCACCGGCAGCAATCAGTCCTTCAGGGTTGGCACTCAGTTCCTTCATGTCAACCATGCAGTGTCCCAGGTGCTGGATGCCGTCCTCCATCTGTCCAGCTTGCCTCTCAGCTCTCCCTCTTGCTCCCCCACCTCCTCCACGAAACACCACAGTCCAGTCCAGTTCCCCGGCTCACACGCAGCCTGCCAAGCGGAAAAGCTGTCACGAAGATAGCAATCCTGCTCGCCTCGCTTTCTTGCTGCCTCACAGCTCGCTCTCTTGCAGCATTAAAGATGCCTTTTGGAAACTAATATGGAAGAGAGGGACCACAAGGGACCTGGAGCAGAGGTGGGAAGGGAGGGAGGGAGGGAGGGAGGGAGGGAGAGCGGCAGAGAGAGGGGAAGGGAGGACTGATGAGGAAGTGAGACTCCGAACGAAACAGAAAGCAGAACAGAATTGATGTTATGTGCGATACACAGCTCTATCCATCAATCTTGGGCTGTCAGTGGGGCACCTCGACCAGACTGCACAGCGCAACACAGCCAGAAAGACACAACTCTGCCCACTCTCCCCCTCTCCCTTCTTTTCTCTTCTCACTGCGCAGCCACTGCTGCATCCAGACATGGCAGCAGGGGTCCCTCTGATTTCTGACATCCATCTCCCTCCCCTTCACCAACCTCCCCTTGCCACTGAGACACACCATTCCCTTTTCCTTTTCTAGCAGCAAATCATTTAACAAGCATCTGACTGTTTAGCTCCATACGGTGAAGCCACCTTAATGCAGCATGTTATTTTGGAAGACGGTAATGTCATTGCTGAGTATAACGTTTAATCAACAGGTCGAATGGACAGTAGCAGAGATAATAATAGTTTCCAATGACATTTAGACAAAACAGTGTTAATGATGCACAGTTATATGTACCTGTACAACAACTCCTACATTTGGAGTTATGTGTATCAGAAGTAAAATTTACCCAATGGATATGGACTTTCTGCTGCTAAATAAAATAAAAAAGGTTTTGAGTTTTGAGTTGTTAGATAACCTGTGCCACACATGGGCATTTATGTCAGAATCTGACTTAATATCGATGGCTATATTTTGTAAAACATTTAGAACATTTAAACCTTCAGATGGATTTTTGATTCACGGCTGACATTCCTGTCTCATATCCAGGCTCAAGACCAAGACAGAAATGTTCATCTTGGTAATATTGCTAAACTTCAATATTCTATACAGAAACTCTTACCCATGTATTTGTAACTTCCAAATTAGATTATTGATGCCCTTTTCTCATTTCTGTATATTTTGTTTTTGTGAAGTGTATTAGGAATGTAGTAAATACAGATTTTACAATTGAGATAAAATGTGTTTATATGTTGATTGATATATATCTGTGTACATCTAGACCAGGGATCTGCAGATACTGAGAAGAGGAGGCAACAAAAGATTTTGTTTTAATCAGCAAATATGTGTAATAAAGAGGTACACTGACAGAATAATACAGCTCTCTTCCCCTGTGCCTTTATTTGCTGCCCTCACCATATCTCCACCCCCTCATACTGTGAAGGTTATTGTTAGTTATTTGGCCACCAAGGCCATGATGATACAGTAAGGCCATATCTAAAATCAATGTTAATTTATACCCTGCTGAATAGAGAGGGTGTTGCGGTCTAAGCTAAAGCTCAATAAAGACACAGCGGAAGCAGAAGCCTTAAGCTCCTGGAGGAAATAAGGCTGGGGTTGGACACCAACAAATTCATTATGGGAAACTAAGACATGTGGCATCACATTGAAACGTTTTGCATATCTCTGTGTTATATGAGCTAGTTTAAAAGTTTAAAAAGTGCATCATTTTAAAGGTGACACAATATGGCAACCCAAACATTGGTTTAAGATTTTTATATTTTATGGTTTTTAGTGTAGGATTACTGTTGCTTTAAATAAATAATTCACAAAGACAGATTTTGAATCAGCTATGAAGGCATGAATACATTGCTCCTCCCAAAAAAAACCCCTTTTACTTAGGGTTAGGGTTAGGGTTAGTAAAACCCTTCACAAAACCTTTCGTGGTTATTGCATTGTACCAGACGTGCAAGCTGATCTTATCTATGTGGATTGTCTCCAAGAGTAGTATAAATTCAATATAACCTGAAATAGGCTTTCTTTCATCTCTTTACAAAAACAATTTTGGGTCAACACATATTTTTTTCTCTGTGATTTAATCTAAAGATAGTGTTTGGATTGTCAGATTATTCTTGTAACTCAAACAATAAAAAAAAATAAAAAACTGGTAAAACCATAGATACTGATCACACGCGACTGGTCTGGGTTGGTGTCGGTGCCAAAAACCTAAATGAAGATAAATTGGTCCCTGCAGGAGCAATAAGACAGAAGATGAGTCCACTCTGCACGAGGAGGTTTCTTCTTCACTTTCTTCCACTGCCTCCATCCTTATCCCTTCATCCCTCTAGTGACACAAACTGCTTGTTTTCCTCACCCTTTACTCCCTTAAACCACCGAGACCAACGTTTGCCTCTATGGTTTTAATGGAAATGTGGTGGCCCACACATTCACATGAACACCACCTCGAGCACGAATGTGTACAATGCAGCGAGAGACAAACGGGTCTGTGGTGTGATCCATTAACATTCTAATACATTTCTTTTAAAGGCGACATGTGTTGTCTTATTAAAGCCTGACTGATAGAGGGGACTAGAGAAAATCAATAGACAATGCACTGGAGATGGAGAATTGTACAAGTACTCTGAGGAGAAGAGAAGAAAATAAACATGCCCTTTTTAGCTATTCAGCCCCAAAGCCTGGATAACAGATTCTCACATTTACCATTCCAATAGCACTTGAGGCCCATTAAAATTTGTGATAGACTCCTCAGTATTAGACAGCCAATGGCTTGATTCAGGGTAGTGTCTGGGGCACAGGTTACACAGCAGGAGACTTCCCATCCTCATGGTGTAAATACAAACTATGGCCAAAACGGGCTGGATAATTACTGAGGGGCAATATTTGGCCTTGTTTAAATCAATGTCTTCATTCCTGAAGGATAAATTATATATATTTAGAGAATATACAATCACATAGATGTGCAGCTTGTTTTATTGTATTCACATTTTTTTTTTAAATGAAATATATTGGGTATTAAAGTTTTATTAGTTGTTTCAGAAAGTCAACATTCTGCATGTGGCAACAACAAGAACAATGACACCAACATCAAAGTGTTCATCCTCTAGACAGCTACCCCTCCTGGGTGCCCTTTCTTTGATTTTAACATGTTTGTGCCACCGATTTTTACAAAACAGCCAAGAAAGAAGCCACTGCACACATCGGGTGACAGCCCAAACAAAACACTGACTGAAAGATGAAAAATATTATTGTGTTGAGTGGACTTTGGTTTAAAAAATGCAAAAAAATGCAAATAATAGCAGTGCTAAAAAGAAAAATGAATACAACAGTAAATAGTGCTTAGACATGTTAACGTTTGTTTAATAACGAAAAATTCTCCAGCAGCAAATGGATCACACACACACACAAGCAATTTACTGGAAATACTTTAGTAAGAACTTCTCACTGAACACGATCAGTCAATCAAAGTTAACATGAGTAGTATCATACTAATGAAACACTAAACTACCCACTGAGAAATGGTCAAATCTATTTTAAGTGGAATGAATAAAATGGAAAAAGGATTAAAACAGGTTTGCTGTATTTTCAATCTGTACTGACATGCTCTTGTGTACAATATGCTGAATGGAGTTTAGATTTGCTGCAATTGTTCCTGACGTCCATACTAAATATAAAGAATCCATCCATCCACTGCTGTTCTAGTGTCCTGTTGTATTGCAGTAGCTGCAGGTTAAGCTATGCAGACTAGACGTCCCTCCTCCTGCAATGTTTCCCTGCACCTCCTGGGAATGAAACACGGTGGGATTTGGTGCTAAGATTATAATTTTGGAAGCTATCAATTTGATTGCTTAATTGGACTTCCCCTCATCACATTCACCAACTGTATGGGCAGGAGGAACAAAGTTACTCATAACCATTTCAATGTACCTATCGAAATGTAATTATTGTATTACGATAGAGCTGAACACAACAAAAATGTAGTGTATGCTATGAGTAAAGCATCTGCCACATATGCTGCAAAAGTACAGTAGTATTATTGAGCATGTTGCATATATATAATGCAGAGTATCTGTCCCTGCATTATCGGTATTCATCTGTCATCCAGTCTAATGGGACCAACAATCTGTCTGTCAAGGTCCCCATGAATACTCCTCACATTAAAAATGAACTGACACCATCCCCCAGCCCTTTCCTTTTCACTCCTTTCAGAGACTGTGGAGAGATGAAGCTATTGATTTCTCATCATGTGTTGTCATGTCAGGTTACTGCATCCTTTCTTTCTGCACCTCTGCTAAGATCTTAGTTGTCGACTTCCAATGTCTTATAAAAAGGATCCACTCAGTTGGAGAAAGATTATATTTTCATAATTTTTTAATTTGAAGGTGGATGAGATGGGTCATGGCTTCCTTCACACCAACATGAACACATAGAAAGGTAGATATTCTCATTTTTATGTGTGTCTTGAAGCAATACTAAAAGGCCAATGTGTACAGTATTTTAAAAGACATACTTATCTCTGTGATAACTTTCTTCTATCCATACCCCTTCACACTGCGGAGGGATTAAATCGCACAACTACACATTAAGTGATGGACACATTCTTATCTTTATTCTGTTCAAAAAAGTTTCCTCAAATTCAGCTGAAACTAATATGCACACACTCATTATTATCAGTCCTCTAGATATACCTGATAATCTTCATGAAAATCAATGTATTATTCAGAGTAAATTGTAATTATCCAATAATTGGAAAAAATATCCAACCCATCTCGCAATAATTGAGAAAATAAAAAAAAAACAATTGTAGGATGTTTAATGGGTTATTTCTTGGTCAATGTCCCATTTTGTTTAAGTTGTGTAGAAATCTGTTATGTAGTCTTTGCTAAAACAAACCTGTAGACAGGGGTTACAGAATAACTTCCTTTGTGGAGGTAAATATGATGTTCTATTGCCATCACTGTGGCATCTGCTCACACACTTAGCCTGAGCTTCTTTGCTGACTGCTAATCATCAGTTGTGGTTTGATCCCAAATAAACTCTTTCAGGCAAAAATGCTGAAGGAAATACTGTACGGCTTCCTTAAGTCCCAATAGTCTCTGTGACAAAGAAGAAAGAGAAGGACTCTGGCTATGCTTCCAGTGGCTCTGACACAGTGGAAACAAAATAGCCCTAGGCACTCAATCTCCGCGAGAGAA